AGTCCTCTTTCTTCCTATAAATTTGTTTCAATGGAATTTACACAATTTGGTTGAACCGAATACACTGTATAAATTTGCCATTAGTACCATTGAAATTAATTCCTAGGGAGAAATGGGTTAACACCATGGAGGTGTACATTATACCCCAATAACTAAAAGTTTAAGTTATAAAATGCATGTTCTGATAATTTTAGAAATATGATGTATTAAATCAAACTTTGTTTTATATTTTAAACCTTTGCTTTCTGGCCGCTTGTCCTCCCAAAGAGCAAACAGTGTGAATTTGTTAAGATTGCTGCGAAAAAACGGTTGAAATTATTTAGCAAACTCCCTTTAGAGGATTTGTTCAGAGTGAATCAAATATTTATGCAATATGCAAATAATATATTTTATGAATTACTCATTTTAAAGCAGAGAATGACTGGTACCGAATGAGATTTGCTTTCTTGATATAAAAATAAAAAAAATAAAAACAGAAAAAAAAAACCAAAAAAAAAAAAACTGCTTTTAGTAAATATGAGAATTGCAAAGTTGGTTGCAATTCGGTTATTTTAACAAAATTTGCTGATGCAGACCAAATTTAGTCATTGGTAAATAACATGGGATAGGCATAGGGCTATCCTAGATATAAGACTAGTGAAAGTATTTTAAAAATTTGGCAAACTAGATGGGCCGAAAGGGCATAGCATGTATGGTAATTTATTATGGTAATTTATTATTTTTCATTGAAGTTTGCTTTACTAATTATAGAGTTTTCACTTGATATAGTCTATATCAAGTGAATAAAATACAAATATTACAATATACAAAATAACACAATTATCCTAGCTATATGACATATTGCCAGCATAACATTTTCCTACGGGATATTTGCCACATTACATATTAAATCACATATTTAATTAATTAGCAACTTGGTTTAATACACATTTGAAACAGTCATATTGAGATAGGCTATCTAAAAGGGTTATTCGAGAATATCAGGAATTTAATGTGAATTTCAAATTAGGCAGCCCATATAAAAACCTAGCTGACCTGGAGAATTTTTAAACAACTAAAATACAACTTTGAATTCCTGAAATTAAAAAAACCCTTTTCTACATTTAAATACAAAATTATAAATGCTAAAGTAGGATGTTACTCATTAAATCAAAGTCAAAACCCACTAATATGTGAAAAAGATCTTTTAGAAAGAAATCAAAGTTTAGTTTAAATAGGTCACTGAGCGATAGGAATGTATTTACTAGCTTTGATTGCATTATTATCTTCAGAGTTCAAATGGTCAGAGATTAGACAATTAAGGATAGCTATGGAAGTGGATCTGATTATGTAGCATATGATACAACCTTTACACTATATGTATTTGTTGCCAATAATATCACTTACTTGCAATAAATTCACAGGAAGGTTACAGCTGCACACACTTCAGTCGCCTGTGTTCTTTCAGTGTTTCCCAGGTATCTGGGTAGAACTGCTGAGATAGTTTACTGGGAGGGACAGGCATTTAGTTTCCCCCCTTTTTGTTAAGGTGTGGTTTGGCTGCTTTCTTGGATAATTGGCAAACTTACTTTGTTGAAAATTTCTATAACTCCATAAAGACCTAACCATAACTTTGCTATTTTCAATTTGGTTTTTTGCATTCAGATTTCATTTGCAAAAATTTGGAGTTTAGTGGAAAGCCCTGATAGTGTAGACCAGTCTAGCAGTGTGCTGTGCCTCAAATCACCCCAAAGTGAGCCATGAACAAATTACATTTCACAGGAGTAAAAGATTGAATGTAGTTCTTAAAGGGACACTATAGGGTCAGGAACACAAGCATGTATTCCTGACCCTATAGTGTTAAAACCACCATCTAGCCCCTCTGTCCCCACTTACCCTCCCTAAGGGTGAGTGGACAATTGATGACCCACTCACCGTTTCCACTCTAAGAAGAACACATCTTTTCCACACTTCCAGTCTTTAGCGTGAGTGACCGTCCTCCAGTGTGGAAACCAACAGTTCCCTATCATCTTATACCAACCATGTTGCAACACCACTATACTGAGCCAGGCATTACAAGAATACAACCGTCACCATCAACACATTTCAGAATACTTTTTGTGTTGACAATAAACCCTCAGATTTGCTGAGTTCCTGTTTTACCCTCAACATAGAGCCTTGTCACATGTGTGGGGGAAAAGGCTGCATCTACACTGGGGGATTGCTATACTCTGTATACTCCCTGGGCTATAATCACTAAACTCCTTTAAGAGCTATTCCTGCTTAACTCTCTGGAGGAAGAGAGGGTCACCCACTGGAACATGGAGCCTTGTTGTAGGTCCAGGGTGGGTAGGAGATGGCGAGTTCCCAGCCAAGCTGTAACGCTGGACGTGGGGACTGGTTCAGTGCTGATGGTCCTTGGTAAGCACTAAGAGCATCAATTGACGGAGGGTCCATTACACCTGCATTTGCATATAACCAATGTTTCAGTCCAACTACCTTGACATATTAAGAAAAGTTTGGTAATGGGTCAGAAATGGTGAATGTATACTGTTGCACAGCTGTAAAAAACAAATTATGTTATCTTGTTGATTTTAAAGCCCTATGAGTATGTTCTTCACTTTGGCTGAGATCATCAAACTAGGAAAGCATTGGGAGGCTATTGTGCATGTGTGGCGAAAAGCTGAACAGCCAACCAGCATCTCCATGTAGAGCTAATCTCCCCCATTCTAAAACACTCCCCCCAAATCCAATACACTGCCCCCTCCGTCCATTCTTATTAAATATACAGCCCTCACTCTAATTTAATACACTGCTCCCACCACTCAAATATACTGCTCCACTCCCCTCCCTCCAGACAGCCACTCGGCGCTCTAGCGGCTGCGGGAGCATACAATCTGCTGTGGGAGAAAATATAGCTTTCCTGCCTTGAGGCTGGTCGCAGCCACAGCACAAAGCGTCCCCAGGGCAGGTGAGTTTGACATGCTTAATCTACACCCTTTTCCTAGCTTTCTCTGCATGGTATAAAACTTCCATAACCACTCGATGGCTGTAGGAAAGGACATCAGGATCAGGTTCTTGAGGACTAGCTGCTGCTTTCAAGCAGGACATGCAAAGTATTTTCTCTGGTATAACCTTGGCATCACAGGCTTCACAGAACGGTCTTATCCTTTTTCTTGCTATAGGAGGATGGTCTATGATCAGAACGAAGAAGCCAATGTAAGACAAGAGGAATGTGCACTCTTTTATATAACATTTCCAAAAACCAATAACCACAAAAAGAGTGACTTACTCCAGACCTTTTCTAAGCTCTAGCTTTCATTCAGCACCAATAATGCCATAAAACAACTCCAAGAAACACCAATCATCTGATAATGAAAATAGGAATGCTAAAAAGGAAGGAGCTTAGCTGCAGCCAAGTACCAAGAGAAAACCACTGCAACACACATGAACGAAAACAAACTTGCAGTAGGAATGAAAGCTTCAGGGACTTTTCAGAAAATCTGAACCGGTCAAATAGGAAACCGTAAAGACGTCATACGATGTGTGTTCCACCTATGTTCCGGAGCCATAGTCGGCTATTGACTAGAAAACTGAAAGTGGGAAATGCAAAAAAGCTTAACGCTCATGCGCGTAATGAAATGCATTCCACTGCTGGAACGCTGAAGGCCCAGACCAAAATGGAGAGAAAACGGAGGGAACAAAATTAAGAATATACTGAAAGGAACCAAACCTAATTGAGATTCCCCATACCTCTTCCCCCTCTAGCCATCTAAGTCATAGAGAAGTGTCTTCCAAAGTTCTCTGTAGGGAGATCCAAATGGTGAAAATGCAGGTAGTAAGACATGTCCAGGTAGGTGTTCCCATGAGGGACCTTAGTCGGTCTGCAACATCCGGCTGCTACCTACATGGTCACAGCAGCATATGACCGCCGGTGAGGCGTCATGTCCTGAGGCTTCCATGGGAAAAGAGGCTGACCTCATAGGAAAGCGGTACTATAGCCCCAAGTAAGTCACAAAACAAAAAAGCAGATGCAAAGCATCCTATGTCCAATGTGAAGTGGACTGGAAAAAAAGACTTAGGTGGTAGGGGATGGAGTCTCTCTTTTATTGTTTAATTATCCAATTAAGGAGAGGTAGGAGCTATACCCATCTGTAGTTTTGCCATGGATATATCTGGGAAATGTTCTTTTTTTTTTATAACTAACAGAGTACAAGTATGTAGAGTTGAGCGGACACCTGGATGTTCGGGTTTGGCGGAACTTTGAAAAAAAGTTCGGGTTCGGGCTCGAACCTGACCCCGAACCACATTGAAGTCAATGGGGACCCGAACTTTTGGCCACAAAAATGCCTCTAAAAAAACTCATGGAAGGGGCTAGAGAGCTGCAAAAGGAAGTAAAATGGGGATAAGAGTAGGACAAGTGCCCTGCAAACAAATGTGGATAGGGAGATCCCTTAAAATAACATAAAAATAAAAAATAAAGCCGAGCCATAAAATAGCACTAGATGGAATCTTTGATTTTAGCTTTGGAAGAACATAAATCAAAATCTAAAGCATGGCTGTCAGGAAGATCAACAGAATTATCCATTTGAAAGAAGGTTGGAGTGCAGGGTATTCTCTTTCATTGTTCAAACTGAGCACAACTCCAGATGCATGGAGAAAAGGCCTTCACAAGCCTCTGCTATTGTGTACATAGTTTATACTAAGTGACCCATAGGTTGAGGAGGCAGTGACTGTAGCAGTGTAGGTGGAACCAGCGGTGGAGGAGGAGGATGAGGTAGCCAACACTGTTTTTTATTTGTTTTTTGTTTTTTAAATTAGGGTAGCCCCCAAAATATTGGGACATATAATAAAAGAAACATTTGCGGCCTGCGGTGCACTTCTTGCAGTCCTGATGCATGGAGAAATGCTCAACTCCTGATGCATGGAGAAAAGGCCTTCACAAGCCTCTGCTAATGTGTACATAGTTTATATAATGTATATAAGTGACCCATAGGTCGAGGAGGCGGTGACCGTGGCGGTGTAGGTGGAAGCAGCGGTGGAGAAGGAGGATGAGGTAGCCAACACTATTTTATATATATATATATATATATATATATAAAAAATTTTTTTTTTAATTGTGGTAGCCCCCAAAATATTGGGACATATAAAAAGAGACAACTCTGTTCTGCAGAGTAGTGTTGACATTATAGTTGCACAGGCCCTTTGTTGACTCTAGATAACCTCGGGACAATTGCACATCCCAGTAATGGCGACTTTGCATTCGGATGTCATCCATATCAACTTTCGATGCCCGTTTCTGCGCCTACCATGGTGACCACGGGTAACGGGGAAACAGGGTTACATTTCGTACACGGACCGTGAGAAACGGCTACCACATGCAAGTAAGGCAGCAGGTGCGCAAATGACCCACTTCCGACCCGGCAAGGTAGTGACGACAAATAACAATACCGAACTCTTTAGAGACCCTGTAATTGTAATAAGTTCACTTGAAATCCTTTAACTCTGATCAATTGGAGGGAAGTCTGGTGCAGAGCCACTGACCCGTGCGTGCTGCAGCTGAAACTACTCTATTGCCTGCTGCTGCTCAAACAGTCTCATGAGGCGGTGAGCGGGAATGCCGAAGTTACGCTGCAGCGCCGACAGGCGAGCAGCAGCAGGGTGAGAACGCCAAAAGCGCGCACAGCCGCTACCGTGAATGTCACATCCTGTTCCAAGTTGCGGATTAGTCTGGTGATGGCTTCTGGTATCCAGTACTCTTTTTACTGAAGCTGCATTAGGGTCCTGGTATGTGGCCGCACAAACGCTGGTGCTCAACACCAGGGGGCGTGCGGTTACCCTGCACCAGATTCTGCTAATCCATTCCACATTGTGACTCCTAACTTCAACATCAGGCATACTGGGTCCCAGTCGTCAGACCGCCGCCCAGACCGTGTCTGGTTCCTGGTCACCGGACTGCCCACCTGACTGTGAAACTACGAATGGATCGTTAAATCTGGTACGAACCCGAACTTTGCAGTTCGGGTTCGCTCAACTCTATTATGGATCCTTTGATCGCTACAGGTATTACTTGTATAACTGGTCATTCTCGAGCTAATATATGCCGACGAGCGCTAGGGGATGGCCGCTCCATTTTTGCACCCTGCTCCTTCTTATGCTGTGCTGGTGCCTCTGTGCGACCAGCGCCTCTTCCTCCAAACTGCACAAGTCACTCGCATGACCTTGATTCCATGTGGGGTCTAGGACCTCATCATCCTCCACATCATCTTCCACCCACTCCTCAACCCTGCCCTCCTTGCAGGTATGCACACTGCAGAAAGCCACAGCAGTTGGCACCTGTATTTATCCAGCATGTAAAGTCTGCAAAGGACATATGGAAATTGTTTTAGAATTGTATCCAAGCAACAGTTTCCCCTATAAACTGACCTCTCAGTTTGACTTGTGAGGGTATTGCCCCAGAATTACAATATTGTTTAAGTACCTCTTAGCTATTGATAACTGGTTTAAATATAGCAGCTTGTTATCTGGTAGTATTTAGTGTAGAAAATATCAATCTGTTTTATATCACGTAGATCTGTGTAACAAGTGTTGTAGGTGTGCGCAGTAAGCACACTATTTGACACTTCTATTTGACTCTCGGATATGAAGTGCACCGCAGGCCGCAAATGTACTATTTAGCAGATTAGCAGCAAAACAATTAGAATGTTTACCACTGCGCTGTGGGCACACTATTAGACGCTTCTATTTGACTCTCAGATATGAAGAGCAGGCCCCAAAATGTACTATTTAGCAGATTAGCAGCAAAACAATTAGAATGTTTACCACTGCGCTGTAAGCACACTATTAGACGCTTCTATTTGACTCTCAGATATGAAGAGCAGGCCCCAAAATACTATTTAGCAGATTAGCAGCAAAACAATTAGAATATTTACCACTGTGCTGTAAGCACACTATTAGATGCTTCTATTTGATTCTCAGATATGAAGAGCAGGCCCCAAAATGTACTATTTAGCAGATTAGCAGCAAAACAATTAGAATGTTTACAACTGCACAGTAAGCGCACTATTTGACGCTTCTATTGACTCTCAGATATGAAGTGCACCGCAGGCCGCAAACGTACTATTTAGCAGATTAGCGCAAAAAAATTAGAATGTTTACCACTGCGCTGTAAGCGCACTATTAGACGCTTCTATTTGACTCTCAGATATGAAGTGCACCCCACTAATATACTATTTAGCATAGCACCCAAAAAATTTTTACTTTTTAAAGCTCTGATGTAACCGCGGTATTTGACGCTTCTTTTTGACTCTCAGATATGAAGTGCACCCCACTAAGGTACTAGTTTGCAGAATTCTTTCCTAATCTGTCCCTAAAAGCAGCAGTATCCTCTGCCTACACTAATAAAAGCTCATGTGCGTGCGGCACTACGCGATTCCAGCTTATATATAGAGGCTGGGTCACATGCTGCACTGGCCAATCACAGCCATGCCATTAGTAGGCATGGCTGTGATGGCTTCTAAGAGCACACAAGTCAAACGCTTGTTGATTGGCTGCCCTGCAGCCTTTCAAAACGCGCCATTAGATATGTCCGTGTTCAGGTACAGGGTCCAAAAACCGTAATGTTCGGTACGAACCCGAACTTTACAGTCTGGGTTCGCTCAACTCTACAAATATGCGACAAACCTGCTCTGTTTGCTGGGAAAGTCGACTAGTTTCTACTGTGCATAACAGGTAACAAGACAAAGTTCAGTTTGCAGATCACTAGATAATGGGAAGATTTTTAACATGTAATCGATAACTTAGCATGCAAAATTGAAAAAGTGGGGCTGATTATGTATATTAATATATATGTGCATCCAATAAGTTAGACCTGTTGCAAACAGTATCACTTACTTGCAGTAACAAATCTCTAGCAAGATCAGAGCCCTATACTCTTCCATACACTGTTCTCGTAGCACTGCCCAACCTTTCCCTACAGCACTACTGAGAGAATTCTGTGGGAGGAGACAGAAATGTGCTTTTGTCTTTGGGGTTTCCCTTAAAGGCATATTTGCTTTGTGCTATTTTTTTCTCTCTTTTATTATGTATTGTACACAAAAAAATATTCTTTATAAACATCTTATGAGGCACAAACCCTCCAATTCCTATTTGTTGAGGGAAATATCCTCCCTCCCCCCCAAAGCAGAATGTAAGGTTGGTATATTCCAGAAAATATATATTATTTTTGTTTTCACTTTTAAAGGGGTACTCTGGACTCCTACAACATTTCAGCTTGCTGAAGTGCTTTTTGTGTCCAGAGTGTGTCCTCTTTTTCTTAATTTTACCAAAAAAGCAGACTTCAATAGAAATTAGCACTTATTAATGAACTAAACAGTGAAATGCAGGCAATTGGAAATCAACCACATAATTTAGGTTGAATACACCAAGCATTTTTTTTTTAACTAAACAGTGAGTTGGCAACAGAATTTCAAAATCAAAGAAAACTCCAAAGATCATAACCACTACAGCGTGCTATTTTGACTACAGTGCCTGGAGTAGCCTGGTACCCCTGTATTGGAAGTTATCAAACCATTTTAGAATGGTTTGATTCCTTGCCTGGTGTCTGCAGGGCACGACTTTCTGTTATTTCTTTGCCTGTCTGTGTTAACTTTTAGCACATTGTACGTGCAGCCAGCAGCAGAGCCCCCACCGGTGCAACTGCACCGAGGACCTAACACTATGGCGGCTCATCGGTTGACCCATGCACTTAATTTGGTTGGTCTATGCTATCAGGGGCTGGATTGTGTGCTGTGGCCCTTTAACAATGCAGTTAGGCCCCTTTTATACCGGCATCCTGGGAGAATTTGAGAGCTTGTCACTTCCTTCAGCGCAGTAGAGAAGGCTGAAAGGTGGGGGCACAAAGGGGCGAACCGAGAGAGCCAGCCTCTGACTCCTAGTAGACTCAGCCAGCAGACTAACCTGCACGGAAGCCACCCTCCTGCAAAAGATAGGAAACTGGAGGTTTTGACCTGCATGCGTATCTGTATGCGTGTATCTGTGTGTCTATGTATCTGTGTGACTGTCTATCTTTATGTGTGTCTGTGTATCTGTATGTATATCAGTGTTTATATCTGTGTGTTTGTGTATCTGCATGTGTGTCAGTGTGTGTATCTGTATGTGTGACAGTATGTGTATCTGTGCACACACATTCATTCCATACAAAAATATGATAACATTCAAACACAAACACTACTCACAAATAAAACCCTTCAATGATGGGCAAATGATAGATACCAAGCTTGTATTGCATCATGGGAGTTGTATGACAGATGGGGACCTGCCTTTTGGCCAACCTTGCACTAGACGGGGTAAAAAAAAAATTATTGCACCAGGTCCCACACTATATTAGTTCCACCACTGTGTGCAGCATGAAGGAAACATTTTTTTAGAGCTTATTTGCCAAACAGCACATAGAAACATGGAAACCTAGAAAGTGATGGCAAATAAGAACCATTCGGCCCATCTAGTCTGCCCAATTTTCTAAATACTTTCATTAGTCCCTGGCCTTATCTTATAGTTAGGGTAGCCTAATGAAAGTATTTAGAAAATTGGGCAGACTAGATGGACCGAATGGTTCTTATCTGCCGTCACATTCTATGTTTCTATGTGCTGTTGGGCAAATAAGCTCTAGTTCATGGAGAAAGTAATACCATACTATACCATTTGGTGGAAACATTAACAAATCCATCTGTGATTCCATGTGTGGAATAAAAAACATTCAAAGAGATAACTTGATGTTACTTTATTGAGTTCGTTCATGAACTGGGATCACCAGCTATCTTGGCTCTCCCACCTGGCTCCCTAGAAGAGGTAGCAGAGAGCACAATTCCACACAGTATTTAACCCCTTTCTGCCAGAAAGCACTATGTCTAAAGATCTTGTCCCCCCCCCCCCCATAGTATTACCTTCTTGCTGATTGTGATGGAGAGACCTGCCTGGCAACCAAAGCAGTCCCCCTGCAGCCAATTGCTGTGGTCCAAGTTATGTGAATGAGGTGACAGCCTGACACTGCGATCACTGATACAATGTTCGATTAGATAAAACATTGTGCAATGTTTCCTTTTTCCTCAATTTTATCTGAACCGAGAGAGATAAATATCATTGCTACAGTGTTCTGTTGGTCTAAAACAGTTTTATTAAAGACAAAAAGGATTAGGGGTACACCCGAAAAATGCATTCTACATGAATGGTACTGCTGTAGTGACCAATATTCATACATGATACAGATTAAATTACGACGCACACATAAAAATACACTAATAATCTTATAAACACTAGCATATATCAGGATTATGACATTTCCTGTGAAAATGGAATTCATGTGTGTGAAAAGACACAAATGAAAGTAAAACCACTAAATGTGGCCAGCATTTGTATAAAGTGACTGGACCAAACAAAACATCCATTTTTTTCTATTGTTTATTAAGTATCATAAAAAAGCACAGCTTTATGATTCTCAAATATTAATATTTTCAAGAATTAGTTTAAATAGATAACAGGTAATACAAGATATACAAAACTGTCGCATAAGAAAAACAACAGATATAAGGCGAGATCTAGAAGAAGCGAGATAGACATAGCCAGGTAGAACAGGGCTAGAAATACTCCAAGGACTAGGAACTGCTGTGGCTTAAAGGCAGTAAAGCAGCCCCAGGACAGCAAAGGCCCTAGGTTCAAATTGCCTGGTGGGCACCTCTGGGGTGACCACATCTGGATGTCACAGTTAGTACCTGAGACAGATGTATGAAATGTCTCTAGTTTATTCTCTGTCTGCTTGCAGACATTTCATACATCTGTCTCAGGTACTAACTGTGACATCCAGATGTGGTCACCCCAGGGGATTTGAACCTAGGTCCTTTACTGGTCATCTGGATGTCACAGTTAGTACCTGAGACAGATGTATGAAATGTCTGCAAGCAGACAGAGAATAAACTAGAGACAGGAAAACAGAAATACACAGAATCAGTATCCAGTCCAAAAACAGGGTAACAGAGAGCAAGAATAGTCAACAAGCCAAGGTCAGAAAATAGGAAACCCAATACACAGTATAAACACACTCTTGGGTAGCAAGAACCATGACAGGAAAAAGAAACAAGGAAAACCAGAAAGTGTGTATATATATATTCTTTACTGGGTTGTGATTGGTTACAGATGACCATGATGTCACAAATGTGTATACATCATCAAAAAGCGACACATGGGCTGACACTATAAAAGGAGATATAAGGGTTGATTGCATGGCGAGGGAAATATTTTGTGCCATATAGACTATAGTATTAATTCCCATTTTATTCAGGGATTTCCCTCATTTATAGGGGAATTGAGAACTAAAAAGAGGTTACTTCTAGCTGGGCTAAAAATCATTCATATCAATTTCTTTTAATATAATTGTGCCATTGTGTCCATGTTTGGTTATAGGCGATAACTCTTTCTCCATTTAAAGTTTATGGGAGATTTGTTTTTTAGTATTTTCCAAGTTGGGAACTCTGTCTCCAGAATCTTACAATAAATGTAAAAGCACTATCAGAGGAGACAAAATCAAGTATATTCCGGCAAATTCTCCACCAGATATGAACGTAAGAGCCTTCCACGTTATTGCAATGCCAGCAAAATATAGAAGATATGGAAAACATCTTATTCATTTTCTTTGGGACAAGATACTATCTTGTTGCTAATTTATATTGCAATTCAAAGAGATTAAGGCAATGTATACATTTATTTACTTCTGGTATGTTTTGAACCATTCTGTGGGACTGATCTCAACATCCAACTCTTTTTTCCATTTACCTTTTAAAGTTGAAACAGGTCTACCTGATGGTAAATCTTGTTCATTGAACAAGATGCTTTTCATTACAACTCTAGTTTAAACTCCATGTTTTAATAAGAATTCCAGTCCCTCTATTTCTTTATCTCTCTTACATATATAGTTGGACACATGGCTCTTAATTCTTAAATATCTAAATTCACTGGAGAGCTCAGGAAGGATTTTATATGCTGCACATTTAGAATAATGCTAAACTTATATATCCCGTTTTCTTCCCAAGTGTGTAGATTCATCTCCTCCATATTGTATTCTAGGAGACTGATGCTACTATTGCTTTGGATAGTGTTTTCCCAGCATTTAAAATTTGAGTGCTGAGATACTTTTGCCCCTTGCAAGTTCTTTCTCTAAACCTATAGCTAGTTTAATGGGATCTATCCATAGCATAAGGGATAAGTCTGATACCACTAGCACATATTTTTGATAGATCTTCATGATTCAGTGGGTCCTGTATTTAGTCATTTAGAGGGATGTTTGAGGATAGCAGCATCATGGTATTTCATTTATATTCAGGACTGCTGAGCCTATCTATACTTTTCTGTAGTAAATTTTGGTTAATCCTTGGCTTCCTTCCTCTCGATATATAGTCCATAAAACATTTCACGATTTTTTTAATTGCATTTTTTTGGAGGCATACTGGAATGGCCCCAAAAAGATAATTCCAAATTGGTAAAACAAGATTTTATGACATTTATTTGTTCCACCCATGAGACTTCTAGAGTCTTCTATTTCTTAAGCATTTTAATTGTCTGGCTCAACAATGCCATAATTAACTATAATCAGATTATTTAGATCATATGTAATAATTATCCCCAAATATTCAATACTGTCTGTAGCCCATTTAAAATTGTAGCTTTCTCGCAATCTGTGATTAGTTTGTTTATCTAGGTTTAAATCCACAATGACCGACTTTGATCTGTTAAGCTTATAGTTTGACATATTGCCATATATTTCTAATTCTTTGAGTAGAAAATGGATCGAGTTCTGAGGGTCTATTAGAATCAATATAACATTGTCTGCATACAAACTTATGCTCACGGTGCCTAGAGAGATATCAGCCATGCCACACTAATCATGCCTAACAAGGCTGAAACGATTGTCTGGGGTTGCTGTGTCTCTCGTGTAGAGGGAACTTGCTGGCATTTCGGATCTGGACTACCCGTATGGGTGGGACCAATCTGATATGTTTCAGAGATGTTCTCTCTGTAATGGCACTAGATGAGCTAAAACCAGCCTGAGATCTGAGTGGGGACCCACTGAAGGACAGGCTATTTCAGCTACTGTACGTTCTCAGTATTCTCTTCTGCATTCAAACTTAGTTTTGCCTCCCTGTTACCAAATTGTATTTCTTTAATAATATTGTTATTCTTTCTGATATATTGAGATAGAGGCTCCAGGGTGAGAATGTACAAAATAGCAGAAAGGCGGCATCCCTGCCTAGTCTTGTTTTGAACACTAAACCAAGGAGAAGCAATAACAGATCCAATAATCCTCATAGAAGGGTTAGTATAGATAGATAGTATTGCCTGTGGTATCCATCCTTTGAAACACATTTTACTTAACATTTCAAACATAAAGTTCCAACTGACTTGACAATCTAGTACTGGTAATATAGTCAGGTCAGTTCTTCTGCTTGTGAGGTCAATCAGATCTACTAGTCTGCGCATATTGTCTGATGGCTGTCTGCTATAGACAAACCCTACCTGTTCGGTATGAATTAGAGAGCGGACTATAGGTCTCAGCTATAATGGCTGAATATATTTTTATATCCCCATTAATCAGTGAAATAAGGGGATAGTTTTCAATCTGTGTTGGGTCTTTATTGCATTTTCTTTATTGATATTATATTTGCCTGAAGTAATTCTGAGGTTATTTACCCTCTCTCTGTAAAACTGTTGAATAGTTGGGCTATGTGTTTCAAGTGCCTGGATCAAACAAAAGATGGAATTTTTAACACCGTTGGTTATCTTCTTGCTATAATAGTGAAAAGTTTATTTCCTACAACTATGGTGGAAGGAGGCTGCCATAATATCTCAAAATTGAAATAGGCCCAGAAAATCTATTTCTCAAATTCCCATGTATGCATTTTGAAATGAGTGAGCTCCATATTTGTCCTTGTAACTTCCAAAACCCACATAACGCCTGTACATGGGAAGTATTGGTGTACTTTTGGGACACCACTGAACACAAATATTAGTGTTTTATAGCAGTAAATAGTGAAAGTGCTATGTTTGTGTGAAAAACAAAAAATATGAACACTAAATTTGGCCAGGGTTTATTACGGTCTACTAAAAAATACCATTTTGGAATACACTGGTTTGTCTACTTTTTAAATGGTATGTTATGATGGGGGTAATTTTCTTTCCTGAACTGCCATACTGTCTGAAAGGTGACATAGGCCAAGAAAATCAATTTGTCAAACTTCTATGTATGAAGATTGGGGCTCATATTTGTCCCTGTAACTTCTACAACTACTGAAAACTTGCACATGACGGGCATTATTGCACTTGTGGGACATCACAGAATACAAATGTGTGACTTACTGCAGTAAAACCAGTATTATGATATTCACAGAAAAAAAGTCATGCTGAAATCTTACTTTCTAACACTTATTTAGATTTCATTCATAGAGAAATATAGATTATATATAAATATTTGATGTCAAATTAAAGAAGCCCTATTTGTCCTTAATAAAATAATATATAATAATTGTTGGTGCACTTAAAATGACAGAGGTATATTATGGCTTAAAGGGACTCTCCAGTGCCAGGAAAACAATCCGTTTTTCTGGCACTGCAGGTCCCCTCTCCCTCCCACCACCCATCCCCGGTTGCTAAAGGGGTGAAAATCCCTTCAGTGACTTACCTGAGACCCCCGCCGATGTCCCTCGGCGGTGGTTTCGGGTTCCCACCGCTCCTCCCCTTCATCACGTCAGCCGGCGGGGGAGACTGATCCCACCCGCCGGCTGAGGAGACCTAAATGCTTTTCAATGCTTTGCTATGAGGAATTGAGCGACGCTGGAGGTCCTCACACAGCGTGAGGACGTACAGCGATGCTCTAGCACAGCGTGCTATGTGTGCTATGAAGCAGGAAGTGCCCTCTAGTGGCTGTCTAGTAGACAGCCACTAGAGGAGGAGTTAACCCTGCAAGGTAAATATTACAGTTTATAAAAACTGCAATAATTACAGCTGCAGGGTTAAGGGTAGTGGGAGTTGGCAACCAGGACACTCCAATGGGCAGAAGTGGTCTGGGTGCCTGGAGTGTCCCTTTAACAGACATATAGCTCAAATACTAGCTTGCTTTGGTTCTGGACTTAAACAATTGCCTCTGTCCTTAAAGTGTTAAAAGTCAATGCAGAGAATGTTTATCCAACAATACCACTCTTGTCAAGATGAAGGGATTATTATCTGTGAATATCCAGCATACTAAAACCATCCCTGTCCTTAGAAGATGTAAGGTTGTATGATTGGAGCATTTTGTGTAATACATTTTGACCAGATTTGAATTGCTTCTTGCAAGTTCATTCAACTCCATTGTGACAGTTAAGGTTGACAGATAATCATATGCACTCAAGGCACTAATTCAGCAGTAAAATTATCACAGGTGCAGCCAGTGAAGCCATATCAGTGCCTGCATGTTCGGGGTCAATAAGACAGACTAGACCCTAAAGGCTACTTTATGGGCTTGTCTGATTAGGGGCACAGTTGGGTACTGCAGCCCTTTAACAGTACAACCAGGACAATGTCAGACTGGCAGTGCTGGGAATAAGTAAGTTTAGGTCGCTTCCTCCCAGTTTACAGAGAGAGCAGCACATGCTAGAAGGAGTATGGGGGAAGAGAGGAGGAATAGAGCCCAGACCGAACTGCCATGAGCTTAAGCCATATTCCACTGGACTCTAGGGAAGCAACCCTCCTGCAGTTAAAAGGCACGGAAAAAGGAGGTATGATGACTTGTATGTGTCAGCCTTTGCCTGTGTATGTCAGTGTATGTATATATGTATGTATGTTGTGTATCTGTGTGTGTAAATGTGTATCTGTGTCAGTATGAATGTGCATACATCCCAGTATTCAATCGCCAAAACATATATTTACACATATATACAAACACACCCCTTTATTGCCACCTTACCTGGATTCCCACAGAGCTCCGATGCTCCCTTGTGATCCAATGATGCTCTTCGTCATCTAAAGCTGCAGAAGCAAGTTGCAGCAGCGGTCGACATTCATTGGGGAAAGTTGCACAGAACTGACATAAGCCAGGCCAGAACTCTAATTCTGGGCTGGCTGTTGACACACTTATGATGCTGCCAGAGATGAAGTTACACCTCCAGCTGCTAAGGGGTTAATCTCTGTATGTGCAGCATTTCAAAGAAAAGAAATGCTACACATACAGACTCCAAGTCACCGAAGTTGTCATGGTGCTTGGAGTAACCTTTTAACTATAAAAACAATATATAGGAATAGTAAGCACTTACTAGAATAAGAATGGTGCTGCAGACAGAAACCATTGCAAGCATAATATGCAATCTGTTTTAATTTTGTACATTTTACTTTTGTAAGGAGAACAGACTATTATAGAGACTGGATCTGAACACAGCTGGAAATCAACAAGGTTAATAATTAAAGTGAGAATTTAAAAAAAAGCTCAGTGAATGTCAATTTTTTTTTCAGGACAAGTGCTTATTCTTATTCTTTATTTTCATAGTGTAAGGAAAGACATATAGGCTTGTGATGCCACAACAGCAACGACAAGTTTATTGCAAACTCGGAGACATATACAGTGTCATGGCATAAGAAGAAGTTGCACATTTTTATATTATTAGGAAACAGGCTAAGACATAGATCTGATCTTAAGAGAGAGTACAGAAGAATGATTAAGAAAGCTAGCATTAGATTAGATATGTTGTTGTGCAGCACCTGAGGTGGAGCACATGGGGGTGATTCTATCCCCAAGCTGGGTAGGCTTTCCGTATGTTCATGCAGTCTGCTTGGTTGATTACCACTTCTGTGCCGTAGGTGAGCCTCTACCTCCTGGTCCCAGACCAGGAGAACAGCATGCCTCTTGTTGTCGTTTGATGGCAGAGCTCCAGGCACTTCAATCTTCCCATCCAAGAGAGAGCATGCAGGTTTGGGTGTCTGGTGGGGTCTGTGTCTCCCATAACTTGCGGT